GTGGACTTTTGTGTTAGGACTCTGGAGTCTTGACCTTGTCCACATCGCTCTGGAGTTTTTATAATATGATTGTTCTTAAAAAATTATGATAGCATTATTGCTATATGGAGAATAAATCTATTTTTGAAGATGATGGAACTGACTCCTCATATAGCAAGACTGTGTTTTTTCTATTACTTGTCTGTGGCAGACAGCTTCAGTTACATCCACAACAACATTTGCCATTTTCCCTTCCCCCCATTTTACTTAGATGACAATTGCACAACCCCAGGAGATGAGGCTAAACCAATGGCAAATAAGTATGTGGTAATTCCACTTCTTTTGGACAAATACTTTCCCAGTCCTCCGCGAGCTTAGGCAAGACCTGTGCCTTCCCTCGGGTACCTTGACGGTAGCCAGAAGGTGGGCTCCTCGTTCTGTTTTGGGTTTAACTGACGGGGCGATAATCAGGCATAGATTAACTGTGCAGCGAGAGGGGAAGACTTTCACGGGCCACCTCCACTGCAGAGGCAGGTTCCTCCTCCTCAGCAGCCACCAGAGAGGAGGACGCTGTCTCTTGGTACTTTCCATTGAAGCTGGCAGTTAGGGGGAAACTTTCTGAAAGCCACTTCCAGCCTCTATTTTTTTTTCTTTCTCTTTTTTAAAAAAATTGAAGTAGCATTGTATTATAACATTATATAAGTTTCAGGTGTGTATCGTTACATATTAGAATGTATCTACCACATTAACTTTCCCCACTAAAAGATCAATTCTGCTCTTCACCATGCAAGCAACCCCTTTTACCAGATTTACTCCCCCCCCTTTCCTCTTTGCCAATTGATAACCACTAATTGGTCTTATAATCTAAAGGTTTGTTTTTATTTCATTTAGTTCATCTGTTTTTTATATTTAAAAATTAGTTCTAAATAAAGACATGGATATAAGACCTCAAACCATAAAATAAACAGAGGAAAACACAAGCTCATGGGAAATGCAAATCAAAACAATAGTGAGCTATACCTTACCTTCGTGGGAATGACTGTTATCTCAAGGATAAGCAGCAGCAAGTATTAGAGAGGATGTGGAAAGAAAGGAACCCTTCTCTCAGCGGGAGGGACTATGCACTGTACTGTAAGTTGGTATAGCCACTATGGACAGCAATTTGGAGATTTCTGAAAACATTAAAAATAGAGATTCCATACAATAGTTATTCAATTTCTGGGTAGTTATCTGAAAAATGTAAAAACACTTAATTTGAAGAGTGATATATACACCCTCCCCATGTTTATTGCAACATTATGCGCAATAGCCAGGACCTGGAAATAAACTGTCTGTCAGCAGGTGATTGGATGAAGAAGATGTGGTATATATACACAATGGAATACTACTCAGCTATAAAAAAGATGAAATTCTGCTATTTGCGATAACATGGGTAGACCTTGAGACTGTTAAGCATAGTTCTTTTCTTTTTTCAAAATATCTAATTGGCTTTATTTGGTGATTCATGAATTGGGAGCACCCCATCCAAGCTAAGAGAAGAGCGCTACCTCCCAACATCTTTTCTGATTATTTACTTCATAGCTTGAAAGTTTTAGTTTAAAATCTTAATGTAACCACATTGGCCTCACCTCTTTACATGTAACTCAGCTGTAGAATGTTACCCTTAGAAATGGAAAATCCTGCTAGGCACAGTTACAAATTCTCTTTTTCTTTTCTCAGAGATCAAAAAGGAGCTCATTTACAAGAAAGATATTTTCTCCCTGTCTTTTGTCTAAGTGATTGACACAACGAACAGACAGTTTTAGTTTACAACTGCTTGTGTAAGTTAGGTAGCAAATGACTTGTTTGGATAATCGCACATAAAAGAAATAGACTGCAATTCCTTCCAGGACAAAAACACCACTTGACAGATGAATCCGCTGGTCTGACAAGCTAGTGAACTTACCTTGACCTAATGGAGGGAAAAACCTCCGCTGTATACATGATGGCAAAACAAGATTTGGAATCTGCCTGTGGATTTCCTCTTGGTCAAACACATAATTTTTAATTCTTGTGATTTTTTATATGTTGGACCCCTCTGTCATCCGATAATAATTGTAGGACATAACAAGTTGCTTATTTCTGATATTTGTAATAGAATAAATGATATTACAAAGAAAAAGGAAACTTCTAGACAACAGGAAAACAAGGAAAGGATTACTGTGTTCAGCATGGCGAAGTGATGGTGGGTTGCCTGTGGACAGCGCCTTGCACAGTGTCCTTCAATTATGCCATCATTTGAGTAATAACTAAATAGGAATATGACACTTTTGGGAAAGCACCAGAGTCCTCTGAGTTGCCGGAGTGGAATACTTCTCACCAGGGGCTGCAAACGCAAATGCCTGCTGGGAGGAAGGCAGGCAAACTAGTCACCAAGCAGATACATCACTGGAAGGGGCTGTGAGAACTACGGAGGGTGGGGGGTGGGGGTGTGTGTGTGTGTGTAAAAGTCTTATCTGAAAGCATTGAAATACGCATTTCTAAAACAAAACAAACAGAAAAAAACCACTGTGTAGGCTGAAAAAAACATCCAAGGGCCACCACTTTGCAACCCCTGATCCAAACAAAACCAATTAGTATTCTGTTGCAGGCTTGTATTGTCTCACTTGAAAGTCATAATCTCTTGAATTATTTGAAAATTCTTTGCAACTTTCAACATGCTACATTGTTGCCAGGCTTTCTTCTTTCCTTGAGAGAGAAAACAAAACCCAAAACACACAAACAACCCTGTGTGTTCTTTAAACTGCAGCAGCTGGTGGGAAACATATGGGAAAAATTATTATTATTCTCTTTGTACTGCGCCGAATTGGGGAGAAAAGTAAACTCTTTCTCGCATATACATTAAATAACATGGTGTAGACACAACATATGCTGCCTTTGTCACTTAGACATTTGCACATTGAGTTGTGAGTAGTGTTCAGAAATTTAAATTAATGTAACTTCTTGATACAGATATCTGCCAAAATTTCCAAGCATAAATCTCCATACGATCTATAGTTTTTAGGGATGAAAGGGGGAAATAAAAGAGCTTTCTAGCAACAGCGAACAAACAGCTCTCGGGATGCGCTTGTCTTTTCTGTAGTTGCCTTTTATTTCCCATTCCTTGGCACAATGCGCTGACCTTATAAATGTTATTAGATGTTGACCCGTAAATATAAATAAGAATTGTCAATAAGTGGAATTGTATTTCCGAACCTAGAGGTCAGAGTCTCTTCTAAGCTATGTAAGGTTGCTTTGTGGGCTTGTAGTATCAAAAAGTAATGGAACAGTTTTTTGAGATGCATTTTCAATGAGAATGGTTGTCCAGATTTTCTAATAATAGCGACTGCTCAGGATATGCTGCAAAATAGAAACTCAGCAAAATAATCTTCTCCTTCAGTTATAGGGGTAGAAAAAACTGCCCTACATTTTTATGGCAGAAAAGGAAATAGGCCTATTTCAATCTAAGAGTGAAGCTGAGTCCTGGGTCGGGGAGGGGGGGCTTGATAATGAGCAAGCTGTGGTCCCTACCCTCATATAGAGGGGAACATGGCACAGAGCCATGCTATCCATGATAGTATCCACCAGCCACCTGTGCGTTAAGTTTAAATTCAATTAAATGAAAAATGCAGTCCCTCAGTCACACTGGCCACATCACAAGTGCCCAACAGCCACATGTGGTTGTGGCAACCATACTGGACAGCAGAGATACAGAACTGTCCGCTACCACAAAAGTCCCGTGGGACAGCACTGGTGTCGAGAGCATAAACTCAGCTCTAGAGTCAGACTGACTGCGTTTGAAAGCAAAAGAGTTTCTGACCATCCCCTATATGTAAAATGGGGACGATGCCTATAAAAGTGTTGCTCTTATGAGCAACATAAGAGTTTATCGTATAAAGTAAAACCTTTTAAGTGCCTGGCCCACAGGAAGTGTACAGACGATGCAATGGGCTTTCCTCAATAGAGGCTCAACAGAATGTTCTGAAGACCCAGAATAGGCAGTGAATTAGTTCTGATACAGAGTATGGAAGCTTCATGGTAATGGGTGACATTTACTTTGGACTTGGAGTGATGAATTTTAACTGGAAGGGAAGTGGGTGGGGAAGCAGGGTGTTCAGCATATTCAAATATTTGGAGGCATGAGGTTATGCGGTACATCTGTGCAATGACAGATCACCCAATTTGTGGAAAAGAGGAATGGCAGAAGGCGAGGCTAAGAAGGCAGGTGAAGATAGATTGTGCAGTGCTGTGCCTGTCACACTGAGGAGACCAGCTTTTGAAGAAAAAAAAAAAAGGAGCCAGAAGGAATTTTGCCATTACTATATCTAATTTTGGGGAAGATAATTATGGTGATTTTTGTGGAAGATGGATTAAAGTTGGGGTCCCACTCTCAGGAGGAAGGGGAATGATGAAATTGTGCACTAAGGTTAAAAAAGCGTGGGGATTGAAGAGAGGAGTGTTGACAGGTCTTGGGGGTGAATTGCATGTGGGGAGATGGAGAAGGGAGATTTGAAGACAGTTTCTTGGGCTCGAGACTTGAGTGGAGATGCTCTTATTAAAATGGGGACTTATGCAGAAGGGTCGACCGTCACATTTCCTGAAGCGTTCCCTGACCTCTCCCCAGTGCTGAAACTTCTTGTCCTGCGTGTTCCATTCTAACCCTAGATGGCAGCAGCCACCAGTGCTGCCTTGTGCCAATCTGCTTTCCCTGTGGTAGGCTGAGATCCAGGAGAGGGCCGGACTGCGTCTACACCTTGAGGAGAGGACCAGCCAGAGTCTACATTGTCGTGTGCCTCTTGTGGAGCTTCTCGCATCCTCTTTCTTGTCAGCAGTCACCTCCCTCCCATTAAAATGCCAGAAACTTGTGTTCCCAGCCTCCCCTGCAGCTAAGGCTTGGGCACAGCTGTTCTGGCCAGTATAAGCTGAGAGGCTGGTATGGGCAGAAACTCTTTTCTTTGACAGAGAACAAGTGAAGATGGGAAGTTTCTTTCCATTTTTTTTTTTTTTTTTGATGAACCCCATGCGTGTCATCTGAGCCTGGCTCCCTTGTCACAGCCCCAGGTAGTGTTCTTGTCCATTTCTGATCTAAAGCGTTGTTCTTTGAAAATGCTGAGAATTGGAGCTGTGGCTGCCATATTGTCACAAGGAAAAGGTGAACAACTGAGAGAAGCTGACTCTGAATCCTGATATTGTAGAGGCCCTGGGGCAAACATGGAACTGCCTTTCCCCTTACACATCTCCCCACAATTTACATCCCTTCTAAATAGCGGTCTCTACTTCATTTGAAGTCATCCCGATGAACAAGAATGGTGAATGCCCAGTGTTTGCACCACCGCGGGCACATACTAGGTGTTTTGGAAAATGTTTAAGCTGAAGGGCGATGGGGCTATTCATTAGGAGTTGTGTGTGCCGGGGAGGTGAGGGGCATGGTTTGCATGGGTTTATTTGCTGCATCTCTGAGGCGTAGCAAGGGAGAGCTGGAATGAATGAATTTGGGCTTCAGAGGAGAAAATGTAACTGAAGTTATAGATTTGTTTCTTGTAGCCACATACACATACAAGTTGACACTGTGGGGGAGGTAAGGCTGCCTAAGAGGATGATAGGCAGGACATTTTTTTAAAGGGTTGATGATCACAGGTCATGTATATATGTATGTATATGTCTATATTTGCATATCTATATGTTTTTGGTGGAGGGAGCAGAGAATGTTGAAAAAGAGTGGAGGAAGAGGCATTCGCGGTAGAACTAGACTACAGTGGAGATGGAAGCCAAGGAAGGAGGACATTTCCAGAATGAGAGGCCAATGCCAGATGCCTTGGAGGAGTTCTCCCCGCTCCCTGTCGCGGTGAGGGACGTCTGTCTCATGAATTCTTTCAGGGGCTTTTCTTCTCTTTAACGGTCAGTTCTGTAGAAAAAACGCACAACACCCGCTTGCTGTGGACTTGCCGTTTTCCATCATCTTCTGTGCCGTCTTCCAGGTTTCTCAGCGTCCGTATTACTGACATTTTAGATTGTCCTGTGCATTGCAGCATGTCTAGTAGAAACCCTGGCCTCTACCCCTAGGTGCCAGCAAGACTCCCTCCCGGGGCCACACCATCTCCAGGTATTGCCTCATCTCTCCTGGGAAGCAAACTCGCCCCTGGTTGAGAACCACAGTTCTAGGCTGATGCTTTAGTTACGTCAGAATCTAAAGAGCAAATAATGGGACTACTCGGATATCTGTTGTGAGCTCGCTAGAACCCCATGGAGGATCCCGTGTGCACAGGGCTGGGGGGAGGGTGCAGTTGAGATCATGGGTGCTGCTGAGGGGAGATCTAACTGGAAGGTTCCATGGAACTCCCAAGGAGTCAGATCAACAGGTGGCACCAGGAATCATGCTGGGCAGTTCCCCTGGAGGGGTCCATTGACAGACCCTGTCTACTTCAAGAGTTGACTTTGGGGCTGAGTTCGCAGGGGGAAGAGCTGCCCAAATCAGAAATTTCACCGTGAAAACGAGTTTATGTTTCCCATTCAAGGCTATTCATTGAAGCTGCCTTATTATATTCAATTATCTAGGTTGTAAAGCCTGGCTCGAGTGAAGCATCTTGTTTTTAAAAGCCTCCTCTCCTATTCCTTGCTCTGCAGAGACTGTCAGTGTGTACTCGGTACACACCCCAGCGTCTGTGACAGCACTGCATGCTGTCTGTTGGGTAATGATTAAAACCTTCTGGAATAGTCCTGGATTACCAAAGGACAATATGACAATGAAGAATAAGGAAATAGATATTTATTAGTGAGTAAATCTCTTTTTAGCTCTATAATTCCTGAGTTATTAACAACACAGCTGGCACGCTTTTATGAAACATTACACAAACACGCTAGACTCTCCTCTCTCGAACCATCTAAATTCTTGATACAATATCCAAAGTGCTGCCCCCACCCCCAAGTACACACATGCTTTGTTTCTCGTAAAAGATAGAGAAATTTCTATTGGCATTCTGCATTGCTAGGACCAGGGGAAAAATAAGACAGAAAAAAAAAAAAAAGCCAGGCATGTTTTCAACTTTTGCAGCAACTCTAGGCTCTAATCACAATGGATGATTAATGCTGACATCTTTATTTAAATGCCAGCATTGTTATGGCAAGTAAACGCCAGTCAGCTGCTGGGTGGCCCTTTGAATAAATGCAGTGAACCTTCCTTTCTGCCTGAGGTTGCCTCCAACAGCCTGTATTCTTCCTCACCCATCTCTTCTCTCTCCAGCCTGCAAACGATTAATCACAATATCTTCTGTACGGTAATTAATCCTGTAAGATGGGCTCTGATTCGAAATCATGATTTATGGAACAAAGGAAAATGTCTCTTTTGATATGGCTGAGACATGCTAAGCTTTAAATACCCTCCATGGTGAACTTCAGTTTCGAAAGACAACCTAGGAGAAAGGAAGAAAGATTTCATGAAAGCCCTACTGTGTGCTAGGATTTTCTCTCACCCACTTCTCACAGCCACCTTGGAAAACAGTTAGCCGTGTTCTTTTTTTTTTTTTTTCCAATAGAGGCATGTTTTTTTATTTATTTGTTTGTTTTGTTTATACATGCACTGGGTACAGTCAGAAGCGCGGGAGGGTGAGAGAATTCACCAGGGCCAGAGCGGGGAGCAGAGCAGGCAGAAGGACCGAAGCACACTGCTGAGGGGAGCAGCGGGCGGCAGGAGAGGTCTGCGCGCCATGTGGGACCCTCCTCCAGTGGCCAGAGAGCAGCCGGGGATCGAACAGGCGCCGCAGAGGCCGCGGGCAGCTTCGCAACCCAGCGCTCAACCGCTGCGCCACCGGGGAGGCCCAGTTAGCCGTGTTCTTATTTGACAGGCAAAGTCAACCTCAAGAGACGATGAAATTTGCAAGTCCTCACTTGTCAGTGTCAAAATCAGGTCCCTAGGACAAAGTGCTGCAGCTGTGACATGTGTCTCCTTCCTCAGGGGCTGGCTGCTGCACTTTCTCTGAGGTCTAGGAGCTGAGTCCACCATGGACAGATGACGAGAAGGATTTTTTATTATCCCCCCACCCCCAACAAATTACCTTTCAGCTCGTGTACACGTAGATACTCCTGACACACCTGCAAAGCCGGGGTAATACTGTCCGACTGCCATAACAGACATCCCCCAGCGGCGGTGGCGCGGTGTGGTAGATGGTGTCGTTGTCCTTAATTGTTTAGTCACCTCCAGTATGAGAAGACTGCCATCCATCCATTGCCCGGTGACTTGCAGTGCCTCGATGTAGGGGTCAATTAGTTTGCTAGGGCTGCCGTAACAAAATTCCACAGACGGGTGAGTGCTTCACTGTGCTGTGTGGACAAGGCGGCATTTGAACTGGCATTTGAACTGGACAAGAACGGCATTCTAGTCAGAAGGGTGCTGTCATGCACAGGGAATTGTCAGTCTGCTTGAGTTTGGGGAGCAGGATGATGAGGAGCCGAGCCTTGAGGAGCAGTGGAGCCAGGACCTCTCCTCTCCACATGCTTTCTCCCTGTTGCACTTTTTACTTTGTGGTTTGGGGGCCTATATGTGACACCTCCAAGAGGGAGAAAGTGGAGCCGGTACTGTCAAAAGCCAGGTCTGAACTTGGAACGGCCTGACTTCTGCTGCGTTCTGTTGGTTAACCCAGTCACAGTGAAGTAGATTCAGGGAAGGAGAGACAAGCTCCATTTCTCAATGGGAGAAGATGATATTGGCCGCCATCTTTAATCCATCTCAGTGCTGCTTTAGAAAAGTTGCACTTTTGTCATTTTCCTTCAGTAGAACAAATAGAAGTGGAGGAGGCACAGTGTAGGTATCCAATGAATCTTTAATGAATATATTGAAAGAATACACGAATGCACACGCTCAAGCTGTCAGCTGGGTTTCAGAATTTCTCAGTCACCTTAAAAAGGAGAGTTGGGTAATAGCAAGGACATGGTTCTGACACTGCCTAGAGATAATGTTTAAAGGTTAGATTAGAAAAAAGAAAGTTGAGTGGTCAAAGGTGTAATGTTGGCATGGAGTGGTGTTATTAATTAAATCGCGTTGCAAATTACAGGGTGAATGAAGATATACACTTACCCAATGCTGAGCCAGGGAACACTCTGTGTTTGCCCCTTTGTCTTTAGGTGGGAGACTTGTTACAAAGAAATAGTAATGACATTTAGTTTCTCTTTTCAAAAATGAATTCTCATCTAGCAAATAAAACTGCTATTGGCATGAATTAAGAATGATGAGCTAGTCACATAAAAGCAGAATCTCAAAAAGCTTTTAAATCAATATATGCATTTCATCTTTACTGAATAATTCTGCATTCATACAGCATATTATTTCATTTGCTTAACTTTTCCTAATCTTTACCTTTCTCTCTTTAGTATGATAGGGATTCTGAAAGTCATAAATTTTCTAACTTAAGATGTCACGGTTGCTTTAATATTATAAATTAAATATTACCAGTTACATTAATGATTCAAGGAACATACAAAAAGTAGATCAAGGTGCTGGGGAAATATAAATAACTTTTCTGGAAAATGTTATTCAAATTTAGAGCCTGGTCAACTGTCCAAAGTCATTTTAAAAGGAGCCCTCTCCTGCTGTTTGAAATTCCCCAACGTGCACTTCTTCGGGTTGGGTGTGTAAAACTACATTAAACACCCAATGCAAGTGCTGTTCTCCTGTTTGAACAAAGGGAAGCCTTCAAGAGGAGCAAATGATCCAATAAGAGACAGTTACAAACGCCTTGAACTTAACAAGCATGTCCCTGGGCGACTTCACCCGGCTCACTCTTTCCCCATTCTCCCCCTCTGCCTGGAACGCACATCTTTGGTGAGTTTGCCCAGACCCCCTTCAGAGGCTGCTCAGATTCCACCTCGCTCACCAGTCACCTTTCCTGGCCATCCTGCTAAAGTAGCATCCCCGTTATTGTCTGATATTTCTTCATGGTATATACATTGAGTTGTGGCTTCTTGTTTATAATCTGTCACTCCATGGAGAGCAAGGGTGTTGTTTTCTTACTTGCATAACTTGATGAAGAAAGCCTCTGTCTTTTCTTCTGTGCCTGGCACATAGCAGTTGCTCAATAAATGCCTGTGTATTACTCATAAGACCAAGCCTTAAAC